CCAGAACCGCTTCCCCCAGCCCTTCGTCACTGTGTGGCGCGCGTGTCCAACCTGACTTACCTCAGGCTGAGGGGTCAGGTGATGGGCTCTCCTCCCATCTAAAATGGCTGAAAGGCAGCCGACTGGAGAGGGCGGAGGGGTCAAGAGGTCCAACCTGACTTACCTCAGGCTGAGGGGTCAGGTGATGGGCTCTCCTCCCATCTAAAATGGCTGAAAGGCAGCCGACTGGAGAGGGCGGAGGGGTCAAGAGCAGGGGAGGGCAGAAGTGACAAGGCAGCGAGCCACCTGTGCTCACAAGTGCAGAGGCTGCACGGTACAGACCGTATGGCGCCCACGGGCCCGTCCCACGTGGATCTCTCAGCCACGACTATGCAAAGTGCGGCCTCTTCTGGCTCACGCCGCCGCCATGGACTCAACCCCCAAACCAAACCCGGCAGCCAAGCGAACGGGCCCTACCCATCCTTCTTGTAGAACTCCAGCATCATGTTGTCCGTGGCCACGCTGAGGGGGCGCCGGGCCTGGTCGTGCTGCTTGCGGTCGGCGTGGTCCATGTCGGGGGAGGGCATGGAGCTGTAGTTGGCATTGTGGTTGACGTGCATGGGGCTGCCGTAGTTCCCGGTCACGTTGAATTCGATGTCTGGGTGGGGAAGAAGAGAGCAGTGTGGTGGGTGGGGCTCTGGGCAGCCAGGGGCTGTTACTGCTGTTTCGAGTCTGCTCTGCACCCAGGGGCACAGCCCCGGGGCCAGGAGCCATTGCGCCAACGCGCCACGGCCACAGAACCCCTCACACCTCAGAGGGGCAGGAGGGGTGAGGGTTGGGGACTGTAAGCCGCCTGGTAAGGAGCGGGAAAGACCAGGGGAGCAGCGAGGGTCCCTCTCTGGGTCTCCTGGGGGTAGGTGGGAGCCCGGCCCGCCTGACGCTCCATTCTGGATACTCTCTGAGGTATCTTGGCCTTCTGGGGTCCCTGCACAGGGGGCTTGTGGGGCCCCACAGGGAGAGTCCCCTCCTCAGCCTCCAGAGCTGCCGGGTCGGAGGGCAGAGCTGGGGCAGTGTGGGGCTGGCGGCCCCACAGCGCACAGCCCTCTACAGGGCCCTGCCCCACTCTGGGGTGACAAGGGCTGCCCCCGGGCCCGCCCCACCCAGCTTCCCTCCACTCTGCCCAGCGGTGCTCATGGCTGGGGCGGGTTTTGTGGCATCAGTACTTGCCCTCAGTTCCGGCCTGCAGCCCCCCACAGCCCTGCCGGTGCCCCTCAGTTCCGGCCTGCAGCCCCCCACAGCCCTGCCGGTGCCCCTCAGTTCCGGCCTGCAGCCCCCCACAGCCCTGCCGGTGCCCCTCAGTTCCGGCCTGCAGCCCCCCACAGCCCTGCCGGTGCCCCTCAGTTCCGGCCTGCAGCCCCCCACAGCCCTGCCGGTGCCCCTCAGTTCCGGCCTGCAGCCCCCCACAGCCCTGCCGGTGCCCCTCAGTTCCGGCCTGCAGCCCCCCACAGCCCTGCCGGTGCCCCTCAGTTCCGGCCTGCAGCCCCCCACAGCCCTGCCGGTGCCCCTCAGTTCCGGCCTGCAGCCCCCCACAGCCCTGCCGGTGCCCCTCAGTTCCGGCCTGCAGCCCCCCACAGCCCTGCCGGTGCCCCTCAGTTCCGGCCTGCAGCCCCCCACAGCCCTGCCGGTGCCCCTCAGTTCCGGCCTGCAGCCCCCCACAGCCCTGCCGGTGCCCCTCAGTTCCGGCCTGCAGCCCCCCACAGCCCTGCCGGTGCCCCTCAGTTCCGGCCTGCAGCCCCCCACAGCCCTGCCGGTGCCCCTCAGTTCCGGCCTGCAGCCCCCCACAGCCCTGCCGGTGCCCCTCAGTTCCGGCCTGCAGCCCCCCACAGCCCTGCCGGTGCCCCTCAGTTCCGGCCTGCAGCCCCCCACAGCCCTGCCGGTGCCCCTCAGTTCCGGCCTGCAGCCCCCCACAGCCCTGCCGGTGCCCCTCAGTTCCGGCCTGCAGCCCCCCACAGCCCTGCCGGTGCCCCTCAGTTCCGGCCTGCAGCCCCCCACAGCCCTGCCGGTGCCCCTCAGTTCCGGCCTGCAGCCCCCCACAGCCCTGCCGGTGCCCCTCAGTTCCGGCCTGCAGCCCCCCACAGCCCTGCCGGTGCCCCTCAGTTCCGGCCTGCAGCCCCCCACAGCCCTGCCGGTGCCCCTCAGTTCCGGCCTGCAGCCCCCCACAGCCCTGCCGGTGCCCCTCAGTTCCGGCCTGCAGCCCCCCACAGCCCTGCCGGTGCCCCTCAGTTCCGGCCTGCAGCCCCCCACAGCCCTGCCGGTGCCCCTCAGTTCCGGCCTGCAGCCCCCCACAGCCCTGCCGGTGCCCCTCAGTTCCGGCCTGCAGCCCCCCACAGCCCTGCCGGTGCCCCTCAGTTCCGGCCTGCAGCCCCCCACAGCCCTGCCGGTGCCCCTCAGTTCCGGCCTGCAGCCCCCCACAGCCCTGCCGGTGCCCCTCAGTTCCGGCCTGCAGCCCCCCACAGCCCTGCCGGTGCCCCTCAGTTCCGGCCTGCAGCCCCCCACAGCCCTGCCGGTGCCCCTCAGTTCCGGCCTGCAGCCCCCCACAGCCCTGCCGGTGCCCCTCAGTTCCGGCCTGCAGCCCCCCACAGCCCTGCCGGTGCCCCTCAGTTCCGGCCTGCAGCTCCCTCTCCCACTTTTCCAGTTCTCAGCAGAGAGCAATAACGGTGACGAATGTCAGGTGAGCAAATGCCCAAAGGGGCACCCCGGGGAGGGCACTAACCCGTTGCCCCTGCTCTTCTCAATCCCGTTACCTGGGGAACGGAACGTGCACCTCGGGTGCTAGATGCTTTGAAATGAGCACAGGACGTCGGAGGCGCTTTCTGACGAGGGATGTTTCTGGGCTGGACTGTCAGCTGGCGCAGCTCCGGTGTAGTTTGCGGCTACCCCCGTCCCCACCAGCGGAGAGCCCGGCCCCTCATCCCCTACTCGTCCCCCGCCGTTTGACCAGCACGTCGCCTTGGCTCACAGGGCAGTTCCATGCAACGGGACATTAGCCACAGCGCAGGACAGATGGATCCGAGCCCCGGCCAAGATCAGCTAACGGCACTTGGCAGAGAAAACGTCACAGCCGCCAGCACCATTGCTGAGCTGGCCTAGCCCCAGGTGTGGACGGGGCGCGGCCTAGCCCCAGGTGCGGCTGTTGCTAGGTGTGGACGTGGCTAGCTGTGGACATGGCGAGGCCTAGCCCCAGGTGTGGACGGGGCGCGGCCTAGCCCCAGGTGCGGCTGTTGCTAGGTGTGGACGTGGCTAGCTGTGGACATGGCGAGGCCTAGCCCCAGGTGTGGACGGGGCGCGGCCTAGCCCCAGGTGCGGCTGTTGCTAGGTGTGGACGTGGCTAGCTGTGGACATGGCGAGGCCTAGCCCCAGGTGTGGACGGGGCGCGGCCTAGCCCCAGGTGCGGCTGTTGCTAGGTGTGGACGTGGCTAGCTGTGGACATGGCGAGGCCTAGCCCCAGGTGTGGACGGGGCGCGGCCTAGCCCCAGGTGCGGCTGTTGCTAGGTGTGGACGTGGCTAGCTGTGGACATGGCGAGGCCTAGCCCCAGGTGTGGATGTGGCTAGGCTGATGGGAAAATTGGCTGATGGAAACCCCCCTTTTGTCGATGTAGGAAACGTCTCTGCTACGGCGCTAGGGAGCAGCAAACCTGCAGCCCTGAGTAAACGAGGTAACAGCAGGCACACTGGGCAGACAGCCAATGGTTAGACGATTAGCCCAGTCCTGTGACAGGTCGGGGCCCTAACACGCCCATCGTCCCAACGCCCGCTTGTCGGTAGCAGCCTCCTATGGCGTGGGGGGGGGGGCTGTGTGCTCTGTACCCATGTCCCCCTGTGCTGGGATGGGAGATTCCCACTGACCCACCCACACACCTAGGCCCACCCGAGGCAATAACAGGATTCCCGGGGGAGGAACAAAGGGAGAGAGGCGGAAGGGGCAGTGGCTGGCTGGGGAACAGGAGGGAGTGAGCCCAAACTGAGGGCTGGAGGTCTAGAGGGGATGGACCCCCTAACCCAAGGGGTCTGAGGCATCCCGGCCCAGACTCCTGTAGCCACATCATGTCTGTGCTGTATCCTGGAGAAGCAACACACCCTCAATTCTACTGGCTGCTGGAGTCTCATCTTGCTGCTACGGGGTTGCAGGATTTGGGGGACCCTGCCTCGGCGTCACACCTCCACCCCAGGGAGCCCAATTGACACAGGAATCGTGATTCTGCTCCTCCCGCTTCTCCCCTTTCACCTCCCTACTTCTGCCTCCTTCCATGCTGCCCGAGAGCCCCTCCCCTCCCCTCCCCACCTCTGCATCCAACCCAGCCTCCTCCCACTTCCCCCTCCCGCTGCCGGAGCGGCCGTCGCGCCTCGTCCCTGCATGCCAGCTCCACGGGGCTGGGGCTGCACCTCTGCTCCGGCGACACGGAGGGGAGGGGTTTCCAACCCTCGCCACACCCACGTGGCCTGCTTTCCAGAGGTGCTGAGGGCCCCCAGCTGCCCCGGACGCCAGCAGGGGCTGCGGAAGC